CTAAAAAAAAAAATGAAGTCTTCTCCTAAGGAGAAGACTTCATTTTTTTTTTTAGACTCAACTGTTGTTAAAACTACACTGGGACTCTTTGCAAAACCCAGGGAACCCACATTTCTAATGATCAAATTTCTTCTTGTTCCAAGAACCAGGGAGTCTCAAATGCATATCTACTCCCTTTCACTGTCTCTCCAGCCACACCTTCACTCTTTCTTAGCTGCTAGGGTATGGGGATATGGTCAATAAAGGCATTCCTGCTCTGTTTTAGATTACACAAAAATCTCATTCTGCCAGTTTACCAATATGGGGTGCCAACAAAGGAGTTAGCAGGAGCAATGATAGAAGCTGAGCCAAAGTCCCCCAGCTTCACTTGTCCTGGTTCAGTCAGAAGGATATTCCCAGCTTTAACGTCCCTGAAAAGACAGGCACAGTGATTAAAAACTGAACAGAGAACACAGTGGACAAATATGGACAGACATGATGAAAAGGAGTGTGAATGGCAGGAGAAAACAGTAAGACAAAGATTTGAGCAACATTTATATGGACCAGGATAAGGAAGACCAGGAGAAAAAGAGAGGGCTGCATTAACAAACTTCTATATTGGTAATGGCCTCTAATGTTCAATAGTTTGATAGCAACAAGTGAAAGATTTCTACTCTACTTAAAATTAGGCTGCTAAAATTAGGATTTGTTTTAGTAAAAGAGTGTGTATATCAGGGGTGTCAAACTCATGACAACACCTCATCACGTGACACAACTTTCCCCCCCTTTGCTAAATCGGGGGTGGGTGTGGCCAGCATGTGACGCATCTGTACCGCGGGCCGCGAGTTTGACACCCTTGGTGTATAGCATAGTTCTTGAGTTAAAAACATATAGCTGGTCCTTTTTTAGCGGTCATTAAGCAAAGTGGTTACTAAGTGAAACCGTGACTGCATTTAATATCAGGCTTCAGCTTTTGTTTGCTTTACCAACTTGTGAAAGTTGTAAATGTGAGGATTGGTAGTAAAGTTCTTTTTTCATCAATGTTGGGTCATTGCATGTCAAGTGGTCTGATTTCAGAAAAGTGCTCCGCTCAACCATCACAGATTTCAATGAAATTCAGTGTGAACGTGCACACATATCCCCAGTGAACATTGGTAAAGTGTTACGTTTGCCGATGCAATATTTGTGAAGATATAGTCATTTGTTTGACCCCATACCGCAGCCTTCATACCACAGACCCCATACCGCAGTATGACTCTGAGGTTTCAGCAAATTTGAGACATAATATCTCCGGCAATATTCTGTTGAGAGAAACAAAACTTGGCCATTTTGTACAACTTGTGCTCTATTAAACAAAATAATAAAAACATTCTCATGAGCGATCTCCATCTAGATAATTTGGAGCAAAGTTGGCCGAAAATATTGTGGCTTGAAAAAAGGTTAAAGTTTGGCTTTTTATATCTCTGGAAGGAAAGGTATGAGAAACGTGGAACTTTGTGCGTAAAAAAAAAGAAACCAAAGAAAGCAGGATGCTGCAAGAAGAAAGATGGAAAATTAGCAGCACAATAGCTGGCACAAGAGATCATCACCAGTTTGTTCCAGTTGACTCAAATTCTATTTCTGTCAGCAAAGTTTCAAATGACACAATTAAATTTGTGCCCCAAATGTCCAATACTGTTGATCCAAATTTAAAATTGGCCGACATATTTCCCGGTTGTTATGTTGCCTGCATTTATGACAAACAATAGTGGGTAGGCAATGTCGTGGAAATTTTGATTGAACAAAATGATGTGTTGGTAACATTTATGCATCCACGAGACCCTGCTCATTCATTTTATTGACCAGAAAAACAAGATGTTTGTTGGGTTCCAGAACCACATCTTATTTGCATGCTTCCAGCATCTTCAGTTATATTGTCAGATCGACAGTATCAATTCCCAGAAGCGACGCTAAAGAACGTGGCACGTACATTCGATAATAAATCAGCGATCGTTGGAATTTGGCAGTTCATACGAACAGTACAGACTTCGGCTTGGGAAACATATAAGATACCCACTTTGGGTTTGGGAGCCTAGGATAAGCTGCCCAATTGTCAGCTTGGGAACCGGACAGATACCCACACAAGGCTTTGGAACCTTGAGGAAGAAACCAAACTACAGGCTTGGGATCCTGAACCAAGAAACCCACCTGTGGCTGGCATTGCATGGCTATCGGGCATGCGCCCTATGGCAATGGGGTTGCTGGTTCAAGTGTCTGAACTGGTAATGACAATGTCACCATGGACCAGCACAATATAATAGTAGTAATGATGTCTATATAAAACAAACAAGACAAAACAATAATAGAATGCATGTGATGCTGCCGAAGCACCGTCCTCAACTTTGTCCCTATTTTTAGGGCTTTATATGTCAGTAATGAAAAACCAACTCTACTTTTTAGGGGGTTTGAAACATGCTCTTTCTAATGAGAATGATTTAACAGTTTCCAGGAGGTCTTTTTTTGTAAAAGCGGGCTGAAAATGCCCTATTTTTGGCGTTTTTACAAAAACCATCAACTTTACACTCAATTTGTGAACTATTGGAAAGCAGTAGGAGAATGAAATTTTATATTTGAAAACCTTGTTTTGCTAAGTTATTACACACACGGTTTCATATTTCTCATAACCTTTCCTTCCAGAGATA